GCAAACTTGGTAACCTCTGCTCTGGCCTCTAGATCCTGTAAAGCATGCTTAGTCATACATCGGGTTGCCACTGCCCGGAAGTCCCCCAGGGCCAACGTCAGACCCTGAGTGAGTTGATCCAACTTGTCTAGCCACTGTCCTCCCCCCTCTGCCGGGGGAGGCAGCTTATCTGCCAAAGCCTGCACATCCCCTATAGAGAAAGGTTTGTATCTTTCCCTACCGCTTCCTGCTCCTCGCAACAAAGGTGCGATTATCTTTGTCCCTTTGGAGCGCAAGCTGTATACATTTCCGGACGGCCCTTGCGCTCCCTCTATGTACTCTGGGCTAAGTCCTTCCGTCTGGGTTTCCCTTATCTGCTCGTCCTCACCGTCCTCGAACAGTGGGTCCCCTTCCATCTCCTCACACGTCCCCACTAATTGTCCCACCACCTCTACTTGCTTTCGCTTCCGACCGCTGAACCTTAACCCACTCCCTGGGGTGGCGGGTTTAAACATGCCATTCTCCCCGAAATCCTCTGCTTGCTCCCGCACTACTCTGTTACGGAACGCTGGCTGGTCTGCTGCCCCTGCAGAATCCTGTCGTTCTGACCCCCCTGTTTTCTCTTGAGTATAGGACTCAGTCTCAGCGTCTGAGCCCCCTTCTGACTCCTCCTTCAGTTTCTCAGACTGCGCACAGGCTGAGACTTCCTGAGTCCCCTGTGTGCGAATGTGAAGGGTTCCCCCTGTGACATTAATCATGGGGCACATATGGGCTAGGGGCGCCGTTGGGTACACCCTCTGGCCCGTATATGCCGGAGGAAGATCTGCACTACCTATCTGTGTTTCGCTTGCACGAGAGGGTGACTTACACTCCTCTGTTTTCTCTCTGTGGAGGTGTTCTGTCCACTGCCATAATAGCGCCAACCTCGACCACTCTCTCCTTTCGCTCTCATACATCTCAACCTCCCTCCTCAACTTCCCCTTTTTCAGCAGACTAGCGCTCGCTCTCTTACGTGTCGCTTCGTCCCTGAGCCTAGCCTGCTCTCTCTCCTTTTTCCACAATAGTACTCCTAATGAGCACTTGTCCTCCGCTCGACATCCAGCACTCCGAATCGCCTCACACATACGCTGCCATGCCTCTATGACGTCCTTCTGCCTACTTTTCTCCTTGCTTGCCCCTTCCACTGCTTCTCTCACCACCCGAATCTGCCTCAACATGGGCTTTCACACTGTATTTTTAGGGGGTGCCCATCCCCCGTCATCTAACTCTCGATCAAATTCGTGATCCATTTTAGTTAGACCAGCTATGTTAATTTGATTTTATTCCTATTATTTAATATTAATATTTATTATTGTATATTACTTCTCTATTCTGCTTTACTCCTTTTTCTCCCTTCTATTTATTTATATTATATTATTTATTTTTATCATTTATTTAGTTCTTTTTATAATAAAGTTTTATTTATCTTCATATAGTATTATTATTACTATTTATTATTATTATTATTATTATTTTTCTTTTCCTGTATTATTTTCTTCTAGGAGCGTTTTCGCCTCTGGGCGTGGATTCACCCAACCACACTTAGTACACTTTTTTATTGTAGTAGAATGTCCTACTAGTAAACACCACCAATACATAAAAATCGTTTTCACGAACAATGTCTGTGTTAGTATGCAGCTTACTGTCGTGTCTCCCCCTGAATAGGGCGCGCCTCGCAAGCTCAATCCCAGCCAAACCAGCCCGCTCCCAGCTGAGACCCCCCCCGATCCCCAGCAATGCCAACCAGGAAGGGGGTGTTCTGTACGCACAACCGAGAGGACCCAGGTGGGGGTCAGCTTGTCGGTCGCACTACCGGTCTGACTCGGCCAGGGTCGGCAGAATAGCCCTCAGGCGTCACCCACCCCAGTGAGAGTCCAAGCCAGGGCCATTCTTAGAACTGACCCTGGACGAGGTCTTCCTCAAAGGTTGTAATGACCTCCCGAGGTACTGGCCGGCTCTGCCCTTTTTGAGTCAGTGGGTGTGGCCGGGCTGGCCCGCTTTTGGGTCTTCAATTGCTGAGAACTCCCCTTCGGTTCTGACACACTGTGAGATCGCAAGGAGCGACAGTGGAGTTACGGGCAAGTCCAACCAACAGAGAGCGAGCGATAAGTCCCTCAGGGCAGGAAGAGCCCACAACAGCGCTTACGCACACACTTCAGCACAACTGCACCAAAACTGATGCTTTTATTCTATCCCTTATTTCGTAGGGTGGGAGACCCCCTTTTTTTTTTTAATTTATTATTATTATTTTATTATTCCAACCCTTTTCTATTCTCTTGTCTCTTCACCTCCGCTCCTGTAAATCCTATTTTCGGCAGGGTCCCAGACCCTCCGTTCCTTAAAATCCTATTTTCACACAACCCAATACATACACACCATGCACACCTGGTACCCGCAACCTCCTTTCTGTGCTATTTTACAGACGGGCCGCTGGACACTTCAGACTGCTTAATTTGAAATATCCAATATGCAGATTTCGGCATAACAGGCTCTGCTTACCTTTCCTAGTTGGCGCCTCGCAGTTTTTGGTGTCCAGGTAGGCTGCGTCAACTTAGCTGAATCTTGGGAATCTCCTGCTCATCCCGGACGAGCCCCCAAATTGTTGGAGTCTGAACTCCGCCGGAGTCCGTTGATGAGAAGAGATTCACTGCACAGTCGAGGAGTGGTTGCAGGACACCAGTTTATTCTGATTAATCAGGGAGCAACGATCTGACACACATTCAGCATGTACAGGAAGATGCTCAAAACATCGGTATCAGCCCTGTGCGTTTATAAGCCTTTTGGGGTGTGGCCCCCCTTTTCTGTACTTTTCCACCTACGTGACTACCACATATTTTGACTTTTGCTCTAGTTAGTATGTGTGCCTGTCCCCAGAAAAGAGTAAAAATAAGTGTCAGGTACATGATCGGTTCCTGTTCTCTTACTGTCGGGAACAAGGTCCTCCTGGCCTGCTCGGTTCCTGTTCTCTTACTGCCGGGAACAATTATTTATCGCATTCTTAAATGATTAACCCCTCAATCTGTTTAGGACGAGGTCCTCTTGACCTGTTTTCTTGTCTAGCAGTTCCCGTTTTTAGTGTCTGCATTATATTAGACACTGTGTTATTAAACATTAGTAAGTTAATATTTGGATTATAGTGAAACTAACCCTTCATTATTGTCTAATGCACCCCTCATCATGCCCTGCTTTAAGCTATATTCTCCTTTTCCTCTATTCATTGTATGTTCTTTATAATTCTATTGAATCCCACACAAGGATTTAGCTGGGGTGGGATTCGAACCCACGCGGACATACGTCCATTGGTTCAGCCGTCGCCATTTTTAACGTGTTTACGCCCCTCGCCTTCCCCCCCGCGATCACCCATTTCACGCGGAACATTCGAACTGACAGGCCACGTACGGCCGAGCTGCGGGGCTAAAATGTTTGCTGGTTAAATGTTTTCTTCAACCTAGCACTGGTAAATATCGCTAAAAGTTTTTCTTCTTCTTCTTTAAACACGTTGGTTAAATGTAATAGGTTTAAAATGTTTGTGCTTGTTTCGCATTTGCTCTTTTGTGCTTGTTTAAAAGTTAAAAGTTTGGGACTTGTGTCGTGTCTTGTCAGTGTTTCGCTCGGACATGTCTCTACTTGTTTAAATTCCGTCTGCTTTTCTTTCTTTCTTTTAAAAGTTAAAAGTTTGGGACTTGTGTCGTTTGTGCTTAAAATACGGTGTTTCGCTCGGACATGTCTCTACTTGTTTAAATTCCGTCTGCTTTTCTTTCTTTCTTTTAAATGTAACACTAAAGTTTTGCCCTAGCTTACATTCATCCTGCTATATGTTTTATTATTCCTTAAAACGTAATTAAAAATAACACATTAATAAAATACATGTAATGTATTTTTATTCTATTAAAGTTTAACAACCCCAAACCATACGACCCCCTATCGGCAACACGTGGCATAAGCATGTATGATACCATTTGGCCAAAGCCCCTCCCCCCGACCAATCAGAACAAAGGATACGCCCACATCCCGCTTATGACGTCATAGATGGGAGAGAGCTTTAAGCTCCTCCCAATGTACCACATAACCTTTTTTCGGGAGCTTCGTGCCCTGAATGTGCATCCTACAAATCTCCATCAACTGCAAGATGCTATCCTATCAATATGGGCCAACATTTCTAAAGAATGCTTTCAGCACCTTGTTGAATCAATGCCACGTAGAATTAAGGCAGTTCTGAAGGCGAAAGGGGGTCAAACACCGTATTAGTATGGTGTTCCTAATAATCCTTTAGGTGAGTGTACTGTATAGTGGTAGTGGTTTCAGGTGTTTGACTGCTCAGTATAGTATATGTAGTGATTGGCTTGATGTAGTGTTTGGCTTTGTGATACAGGCCCCCATTCATACAAAACAACCAATCGTTTTAACCTGAATCATTGGCTTCCGAAATACATGAAATGTCTGGCTATGTGTATATGTGCAACCACATTGTTTTCAGTCAGGGTGCCTTCCACACTTTCTGAAGTAACCAAACAGAAGCAAACACTTCTTACTGACTGAACATTTTCAAGATCTCTTACATTTATTGGTTAATTATTTATTCATCCATTACTTGTTTGTATTTGCTGTAAACTGAGTTCAGACGTGCACAATTATTGAACAAGGCAATAAATATTAGTTTGTACTCAAAACTTTTAAAACTTTAACATTATAATAACAAAAAGCAAGTTTGCTATAATGACTATGTTTCACAGTCAAGGGGTAAGAAGAAGAGGAGGATGATGACATCATCAAATTACCGATGACATCTGAGCAACAGTTATTGACCATGTACTTGTTCATGACATGACAATGAACGAAGCCATTCTCTCACTGCTACAGCCATAACTAAGATCTCCTTTTAACACCCATATGAAAAAACACACATGGTTCACATTAGACTATAAAACATTTTTCTTATATATGACAACACATGATTTTTTAAAAGTTCACACAAGTCTTGCTCAAGGACCCACAGACACGCAAAGCCGGGCTTGGACCACCAAACTTCTGATCACAGGCACAGAGGATTAGCCTTTGGTAGGAAACATATGTTTATTGCTGGTTTTTTCTTAACGAAAAATGTATATCACTTTTATATTATTCTAATAAGACATGCTTGATGCCTCCACATTTAGTTGGTTTAATTAGACATGAGACAATTCATGTAATATTCTCAGAACACAAACTGAATGCATCAACTAAAAAAGGATATCTCCCTTTCAAAATAATCAGTCTAGTTGTGTGGAACCACTGTCCATGATTCAATTGAGTTCAGTTATCACACATAAAAAGTAATACTGACAAAACATTCAGATAATCCATTGTACATGTTTGACAAAACATGAATATAATAAGTATTTCTATGAATAAAGGACATATACCGTATGACAAATGACACATGCATTTAATATCAATTGTACATGAATGTAGGACTTACACATTTGATGGTACATTCATTTCATATGTATTTCATAATAAAGGACATATGTCAAATGACAGATTAAGTTGATATTAACTGCTTGTTTATTTGAGTGTCATATCAAAAGCTTACATGATTTTGGTAAAATGTAAGAGTCATTTGTTATTTTAATAAAACTTTTCCATATGGGCATCTCTAAAATCAGAAACCTGTTGTCAAAGTATGACCTTGAAAAAACTTATTCATGCCTTCATCTCCAGTCGCTTGGGTTATTGTAATTCTGTCCTGTATGGACTTCCCAAAAAATCCTTGAGACTGCTCCAGCTCATCCTACATGCTGCCGCTAGAATGTTAATTGGGACAAAGAACACATTACTCCAGTCCTTCACTCCTTAGACTGGTTTCCAGTTGCTTTTACAATCTACTTCAAGGTGCTACTTTTTGTTTACAAATCACTGAATGGTCTTGACCCAGTTTACATACTTTACAGACAATCTGAATGAATATGAACCTAAAAGGCTGCTAAGATCATTAGCAGCTGGTCAGCTAATAATGTCAAGAATGAAAAGTCAGCAAGGCTAAATGGCTTTCAGCTCATAACTGGAATATCTCCCGGAGGAGATAAGAAATGCACCAAATATTGCCACCTTTAAAACCAGGCTCAAAACATTTTTAAGGTTGATGCTCTAGCTAGGACTTTAGACATCTTGGGGCTGATCCTTTGATTAGCTGTGAACCACCCAACCTCACTGAGTTTGCATGGGGGGTGAACCAGCTCGGAGTAGGGAAGGCCACAGGGATATGTGGTGGTAAAGCTGTTCTCCTGGCATTGCAAGCAATCCTTGCTTTCATTTGGGAGACAGGAGTACTCCCAACAGACTAAAGAATGTAACTTCTTGTCCCTATCTGGAAAAGGAAAGGTGATCTCTGGGACTGCGGCAACTTCAGTGCTCTCAGTGCCGGTATGTCGATTTTCATAGAGCGTTTGACTCAGTTGATCGGGCTAATTTGTGGGACATCCTGAGACTGTGCGGGATTCACCCTATGTTGCTGGATGTCATGGCCAGTCTGTACACCAGTACTATGAGGATTACATTCAGGGTCTCACTTTTTTCAGGTCCTTTTTTGGTAATGCATGACTCCACAGTGACACAACAGCTTCCTCCACTTGATGTCCCAGAACTGTCAGTCTTTTTCATGTAGCCACACTCCCTCATATGTATCAAAGTAGTCAAAGCAGTGGCAACCATGGCAAAATATATATTTGCTTCAATGTATTGACTTTAAGACATTCAGTTTTACTTCAGAGGCCGGAAAATGAATGGTTGCTTTGGCTATAAGCACACCTAAACTAGGCCATTGGCTGACCCACTGGTTAATGGATGCAGAAAATAACACATTACAGCAGATAACACATAATTCGTGTATATGTTCCTCAACCAATTGATTCTTTCACAAACAGTAAGAAAAAATTTAAAGGAAAAGAAATTTGGAGAAATATCTATTTTAAATCAGCCATCTCAATCTCCCCATTCCGGGTTGTGGTGCAATCATCCTTCATCCAGGGAAAGCAAAAATGCTTGCCAATAATGATGTAGCTGATAGGCTTGATACACGCGCTTATGGCTGCAAGTGCATTGCTAACAGGTATGATAATTGCGAAAATGGCAGAAATATCTGTAGTTGAGTGGTGCTGCCAGAGTGGCAGAAATAGACAAGGCAGCCAGCACAAGCAGTGGCCAATGACCAGGGCCTTTCTGATGCGATAATCCACAGATGACTGGGTTCTGAAACTGTTCCTCTTCAAGACCAATAAGCAACAACAGATGGCTGCTGAAGCTGCTGGGAGTATGAATCCAAAAATTAATCGCATGTACAGAACAGTGCTTTTTCTCTTTAGTCCCTGTGAGGCTGCCTGCTCGGTGGATACGTTCTCATAATTGTCCATGCACACCTCCCCATTCTTCCTGTGCTGAACTACTCTGAACAGCAGGGATGGACAGCTCAGGATAGCTGCAGCAAACCAAGAAATCAGTAACATGAGTTTTGATGCATTAAACCTGCAGCTAGTACAAGAAAATTTGTTGAAGAACAGCTGCTCCAGGCTCATGAAGCTAAGAATGAAGGCCATTGAATACATGGATGTGAATGTCACAATCGAAATCAGCTTGCAGAGTATCCACCCAAACCTCCAGGTGAAGTTGTCCCATGCAGAGACAATGTGAAATGGCAGGAACAGGCAGAAGATCAGGTCTGAGATGGCCATGCCCAAGAGCCAGATGGCAGCTTCATAATTCCCAATTCTACGGAAAAGAGTGATGATGACCAGGATATTTAACGGTACTCCCAAGAGAATGGTGATGCCATACATCCCTGTGTACATGTACATTAAATTTTTCATTTCTTCTGCTTCTGTATGTAATTTATCCAAAACATCATATCCATTGTAGTCATAATCGAAGGACACATTATCAGCCATTGTATTCTTTTCCTAAAAAAAAAATAACAAATTAAGAGACATATTATTTATTCAACTGAATCCATCTTCCTAAAACCCAACAAACTTCCAACTGTACAAGCAATGACCTCTGCTTCCTGGGATGAATTCCAAGGTCATGACAATGTACTGGGCATGTGGTTATAGATGAATCTTGCTACAACACAGTGCAGTGAAAATAACAGCTGACATAAATATTTCTCAACAAAAGCATATTTTTCTCTGTGTCCCCACTCAGAGGCTTACATTGAAAATGTCACATTGGGCTTCCTCACCCACCCAAATTTCTATAAAAATTGCTATTTCACAAGAATTTCTTCTGATTAATCTGAATAAGTAGAGATGTATTTTTTTTTAATCATACACCTTGTTGTCACGCCCGGCTCGTCCGATCCTCGTGTGTGCCACGCCCACCTCGTTACCTCGTGTTACTTCCTGATTGTGATCACCTGTTGCTTGTTCAGTTCATCCTGTCTTTCGTATTTAGTCCATGTCTCAGTCAGTATTCCCCAGATCCGTCATTGTATTGTCATGATGTTTGCTGTTCGTCTGCTTGTCTGCCCGGAATAAACCCCCTTTTTTGAGTATTCCCGGCTTGCTCGCCTGCTTCCCCACTCGCCTGCTTGCCTATACGTGACAGAATGACGGATCTCCGCAGCTTGAGGACAGCCGCCTCAAGCTGCTGGATGAGATGCTGTACTGGCTGTCCCAACCCGAGGTCCGTGAGGACCCTGGGCTATGGCAACTAGCCAGCAAGAGCGGCTGCCTCCTTCAGGGGATGACTCCGCTCACAGGCATGCACGTAATCGCCAACGTGCGCGAAAACCTCCAGCAGCTGGTCGAAGGATTCGTGGAGAGGCAACTCCAACCGCACACCTTCTTGGAGGCAACCCCGCCTCCACCGACCTGCCCCAGCTGCAGAAAGAAGGCATAGGGGAAAAGGAGAGGACGCCACCCCGACAATCTTCGTGGGGGCTTGCTGTCTCTCCGCAGCCACTCTCCCCGCGGAATGTCAGGAGGAACCCCTCCTGACACAGCAGCCCCCGGGGATCATCTCAGCCACGCTGTCGCCTTTGGAGGCGTATAACTTTCGGGCAGCACGCCTGGGCCAAGGAGGGATACGCGCGGTAGTGGACGCTGTCCCGCGGTCCCTTAAAGGGACCCAGCAACTCCGGGAAGCGCCGGAACTGGATGCGCTGGCTGAAGTGCCCGACCTCCCGCCTGCTGCTGCCGCCGCCATGCCCGCGGCACCGCCTGCTGCTGCTGCCGTCGCTCTGCCCGTGGCGCCCCCTGCTGGCCGCACGCCCGAGGTGCCCGCTGATGCCGGCGCTCTGCCCGCGGCCCTGCCTGCTGACGCCGCTCCGCCCAACTCGCCCATCCTGCCTGTCTAAGCCCGGCTCGCCCATCCTGCCTGTCTCTCCGGCTGCACCACCTGCCGCCACGCCCGCGGCTACAGCTGCACCGCCTGCCGCCACGCCCCCTGTTCTGCCCGAGCCTCCACCCGCTGCGGCTCCCGTGACTCCTGCTCTGGCTTTGCCTGCGCCTGATGCCCCGGCCCAGTCTCTGCCTGTCCTGGTCCCTGCTCCAGTCCCCCCAGCCCGGGTCCCAGTCCCCGAGGAGATCCCAGACAGTCTGACCACCACTCCTTCCTCCTTGGAGAAGGAGGAGATCGAGCGGGACCCCTCGGGGACCTCCCTCATGACTCCTCTGCCCTCGGCCCGGCGAGGTCGATCCCCGCCTGTCAGTGTCCTGAAAAGGGAGAGGACACAGGCGCAGGGCCAGGATCCCACCCGCCCTGCCCCCTGACTCGCCCGTGCGTCCCCTGGCTGTGGCTCGGTGGCTGCCTGCGGGTCCTACGGCTCCGGCTCGGCTGTCGCCTCTGGGTCCCCCTCCGGTGCCTAGTCGCCCTCCTGCGGTCCCTCCGACGGCGCCTCGTCGGCCGCCTCCGGGTCCCTCTGCTCCGGCTTGGTGTCGGACGGCGCCTTCCCCAGCTCCAGCTGTGCTGTCGCCTGCCGCGGCTTGCCCCTCCTGCCTGCCTGCACCAGTGTCCCCTCCTGTTCCCTCCTTGTCTCCTCTGTCGGTCCCTCTGTCCATCTCCTTGCCCCCTGCGTGGTCCCCTCCTGCTCGTGCCTCCCTGTCGCCTGCGGCCCCTCTTTTTGGGTTTTGTCTTTCAGGTCCTGTTCCCTCATCTCGTCCATCGCCTCCCCACAGGCGCGCCCGGTGTGCGTGCCTTTGGGGGGGTTCTGTCACGCCCGGCTCATCCGATTCTCGTGTGTGCCATGCCCACCTCGTTACCTCGTGTTACTTCTTGATTGTGATCACCTGTTGCTTGTTCAGTTCAGCCTGTCTTTCGTATTTAGTCCATGTCTCAGTCAGTATTCCCCAGATCCGTCATTGTATTGTCATGATGTTTGCTGTTCGTCTGCTTGTCTGCCCG